TTTTATTTGTGGAGGGTAGAAGTTGAAAAAAGAAATGTGATCTATCCATAAAATGTCTAAAAGGTGAAGTTTGAAGAGTAAGCAAACCAAAAATTGCTGAACTAATGTCTTCTATCATTGCTATACTAAGTAGTCACTGTGACAATTAGCACATGTGATTCTCAAACGAAAGAGGGGCTTCAGAAAGAAATGGATGTAACTGCAACTGTCTACAAAGATCTTCGCTGCATTCATGTCGTAACATTGCCTAAAGTATGCCAGCGTTGTACCGGTCTATGCTGCGCTGGTGCCAGGATGAAATTGTCTGTTTTGGTCCCCTCTGCGAATGGTCACAATTTGCAATACCTTTTTATACCCTCCACCATACTATGGAGGGTATATTAATTTTGTCATTCCGTTTGTAACTCCTCGAAATACTCATGTCAGACCCAACAAAGTATATATATTCTTGATCAGCGTAAAATTCTAAGACGATTTAGCCATGTCCGTCTGTCTGTCTGTGTGTCTGTCTGTCTATCTGTCTGTCCGTCTGTCTGTCTGTTGTAATCACGCTATCTTTCGAACAAATTGAGAGAGAAGGCTAAAATTTTGCACACATGTATATTTTGCCAGTAGGCAGGTTAAGTTCGTAAGGTCCAAATTATCATATACCCCCCATATAACTGTACCTCCCGATATTCAGTATTTTGATGATTTTAGCGACATTATTCACCGGAATTGTTTCAAATTTGGCATTTGAAGTTCGTAATGAATACTACAGCCTAAGACAGAAAATTATCTGTGCAGGTCCACGTCTTCGTGTAGCCCCCATATAGCGGTACCCCCCCCCCCCCCCCCCCGATATTCGGTATTTTGATGATTTTAGCGACATTCTTTACTGAAATCGTTTCCAATTTGGCATTTGAAGTTCGTAATGGATACTACATCCTAAGTCAAAAAATGAGCCATGTAGGTCCACGCCTTCATATAGCCCCCGATATTCGGTATTTTGATGATTTTAGCGACATTATTTACCGGAATTGTTTCAAATTTGACTTCAGCCAATGCCAGAAAATTGTCTGCGCAGGTCCACGTCTTCGTATAGCCCCCATATAACGGTACCCCCCATATTCGGTATTTTAATTATTTTAGCTACATTATAAACTGATTTTTCTTCAAGTTTCGCATTTAAATATTGTAATAACTTATGACAAAAGTTGCCTATGCAGGCCCACGTCGTCGTAGAAGAATTCGGTATTCTTAAGATTTTAACAGAATTTTTAACGGATTTTATTTTTGGAAATTGCCAAATTTGTACCAAATGGTGGAGGGTATTAAAAGTTCAGCCCGGCCGAACTTACAGCTTTTTTACTTGTTCTTTCATAAATTGTGAAACAAGTCAACGATTCTTTGAAACTTGTTATATCTAACCCTGAGATGAATATGGAATTTATGATTCGCATAAAATTAGACATAAATGTTCGATATTCTTGTAAGTTTGCCCATTTAAATACTAAAATTTTTTATTAGATGAAGTATGAAAATGCAATACTTCGGTCGACTATATCTGGTACCTCACGTATATTTCAACATTTTCTAAAAATTATCACATATCTCATACAAAGTGAAGGAAGTAACCAATATAGTCCAAACCTGGTACGTCGCATATTTATTTATGTCCGATGCGAAATGAACAATATTAGTTCATTCCATCGGAACGTACCCCACAGAAGGTCAACAATTTGAATAATCATAACAGAAGTAAAAAAATATATTTAAATGATCGAACATTGGCTGAGGGTATACATATGTCAGCAGAACCGACTGATACTTTTTAGCTTCTTTTTGACTTGTCAAAAGTCTTGTCATATGTATTTACAAAAAAATATACTCTTTATTTTCTCAGGTATATATGAAGAAAAACAAGTTAACAAGTGTTAATAGATTTCGCCGACAGAGATATACCCTCAGCCAATATCTGTTGGTTTAAAATATATAATGACCTGCGTTATGATTATTCAAGCTTTTGCCACTTATATGAGGTCATGGTACAATAAAGGTAAGGTAGAGCTACCGGCTTCTGCCAATTTTGTGTATGTATTTGTTGTTCTGAAAAATAAAAACAAAATATATTCAAAATCAATGATTGGAAGAAACTTAAATTGAGGGATCCTATTTTTGAGAGAACATCCAGGCATTTCAATCGTATTTCGCGGTATTTGACTCATTGAAAAAAAAAACAAAAAATATTAAATAAAGGAAAAAACTTGTAGCCTATAATTTTGAATAATTCTGACAGGAAGAGGGCATAACCTCAGGGCTGTATTTCTGTAGTTTTACGAAGCTGTTCTACCTCCATATTGTACCATGTATGAGATATGTGATCATTTTTGCAAAATGTTCAAATGTGCACGTTGTGCCTGGTACAGTGAACCGAAGAAGTCCACTTCATATAATGCTGATAAGAATAATAGTTAGTCAAAAGATTAAACAGAAGAAGTGGACCGAAACATCTATTTAATCTATGGTGAACAGAAATATTGAGATACACGAAAGATTGATGAGGATCGCTGACTTGTTTCGCATTTTATAAGCGTTATAATTATTGAAAATGTTGACCCCTTGTGGGAGATAGGCTAGAAGCACTGGTTATTTGGTCTTTCAAAATTTTGACACTTGGTGGGGGAGAGTGGTCCTATATATTCCATCTTAATACCAGATCTTGTGTTGATAGATGTATTGGGATGTGACGACTTTGAAAGGAATCGGATGTTCATTTCGCGCTTTACGAGCCTCATGGCTATTCTAAATTTTGGCCCGTTGTGGGGGAGGTACCAAAAGGAGTAAACCGATATATTTGTTATTAGACACAGATATCGATGGGCTCAGTAGACCACTTTAATGAAATGACAAGCAGCCCTGCAATGTTCCCCATTCAATATTAGAATAGATAAGAATAATTGTGTGGCTGCGATTAGGCTAAGTCAGATAGTTTTAGTAGTACTTAAGAAACATACTTTTAAATAAAAACTAGAATTGAAACTACATCCAAGCGAAGCGGTTGTTTTCCTTTCTCTCTTTACATTGCCCCAGTCGAGCCGGATACAGAATAGAATTGACAATCGAAGAGGGAGGTTGAATTCCGTTCTCATTATTACAAGTTAAAAAACAGTAAGTTCGGCCGGGCCGAACTTTGAATACCCTCCACCATTTGGAACGAATTTGGAAATTTTCAAAAAATAAAATCAGTTTAAAATGCTGTTAAAATCTTAAAAATACCGAATATAGCCGATATATTGGGGTCTATACGACGTGGATCTACATCGGCATTGTTTGTTATAAGCCATTACCATTACCTGGACCTGCATAAAAAAATTGTATGTCACAGACTGCAGTTCAAATTACGAACTCTAAATACGTAATTTGAAACTACTCCGGTGAATAATGACGCTAAAATCATCAAAATACCGAATATTGGGAGGTGCCGTTATAGGGGGACTATACGAAGACGTGGACCTGCACAGACAATTTTCTGTCATAAGCTGTAGTATTTATTTCGAACTTCAAATACCAAATTTGAAAAGTTCCGGTGAATAATGTCGCTAAAATCATCAAAATACCGAATATCGAAAGGTACCGTTATATGGGGGCTATAAGAAAACGTGGACCTACATGACCCATTTACGAACTTAACCTGCCTACTGGCAAAACAAACATGTGTGCAAAATGTTAGCGTTCTATCTCAATTCGTTCGAAAGATAGCGTGATTACAACAGAGAGACGGACAGACAGACGGACATCGCTAAATCGACTTAGAATTTTACGCTGATCAAGAATATATATACTTTGTTGGGTCTGACATGAGTATATCCAGGAGTTGACAAAGTTAATATACCCTCCATAGAATGGTGGAGGGTATAAAAACATTTACCTTCTGTTTTACGTCCGGAAATTTAGTAAGAGACGTCAACAATATTTTCTTTAATAAGAATTGAAAACTTTTCCTATTAAGTAAGTGCCAGATATAGGCCTACAATTCAAACGAATATAAAGCTAAGCTAATTTTATAAGAATGATATAAATTTCTACTTCGTTTTATGTTTCTAAATGTGTTTTTAGCAAACCAAACCACGTCTGATTAATATCTGAAGTTTTGTCCGACGCACAGTGGTTCAGCTTTCCGCTGAATCAGGAACAATCAAATTCGGTTCACATTTGCAGAGGTCAACCATTCTATGGAAGGTATACTAACTTTGTTATTCCGTTTGTAACTCCACTAAATATTCATGACAGGCCCTACAAATATATATATTCTGGATCAGTGTAAAATTCTAAGTCGAGGTTAAGTTCGTAAATGGGTCATGTCGGTACACGTTTTCGTATACTCCTCATATAACGGTACCTCTCAATATTCGGTATTTTGATAATTGAGCGACATTATAGATGGAATTATTTCAAATTTCATATTTCAAGTTCGTAATGGGTACTACAGCCTCTGACAAAAAAATTCCGTATACAGGTCCACGTCTTCGTATAGCCACCATATAGCGGTACCTTCCGATGATTTTAGCCGAAATTGTTGTTTTACAAATAAATTTTTTAAAGATTTTTCATTTTGTTCGAACTCACAACGTAAAGAATACCTTTGGGAAAATACTTGCGACTTTAGTGTGTAAGCGAAAACGTGGTTTTATCCGGATCAAAATGTGTATGTTAACACCATGGTACAATTAAATTAAGGCAACCACATTTCTAATAATAAAAATAAAAATTTCTACATTTTTCTGTAATTTTCTTTGTCCAATAAAAATACATTGAAAACTGGTTTGCATATTTGATTTGTGTATATCCAATTGATTTATGAATAATCATTTTGGTAGCTTTTAAAATTATTATTTTGAAAAAAAAAAACATAGAATTGCATGTCTTTCCTTCTTAATTTTACGATACCTTTTAAGTGTACGCTGGGTAAATGCAAGCTGTAAGTCGACTTGTGTACCCCTAGCACAAATTCACAAATCAGCTGTAAATGACAACTATCGAGCAGTTGTGTGGCGTTTCAGGCCAAATAAACCATATAAATCTGCTTTTCCTGGGAGGAATGTTAACAAATTAATACGAATAATATTTTTAATTAATGAACAAATTAATAAGGTTCCGAAGAACAGATTGATGCTGAACATCTATATAGCTCACTCATCGGAATTATTTTGCAGTGGCACTTGAACATCAGCTGTACTTATGGCGCTCAATACGTACACTATAATATAGTTTTTTAGTTTCAACGCATTAATATTGTATTTTAATTTACAGATTACGGCAATTTTATATGGAAATACCTCCGGTGACACGGTTTTATACAACTGCCTGCGTCATGACTACATTAGCAGTGGTAAGTGTAGGATAAAATACACAAATAGACACGTCATCCATACAAGCTAAGTTTAATATGTTTAGGATGCAAGAATACTGAATACTTGACATTTGATCTGGTACAACTTGAGATGCTATATTCCGAAGGTGTTCGAAACACAACTAGTAGGGGCCTATGTACTGTCGAAACATTTGACTGTCATAGTTCAAAGAACTTACATTTTGGTAATGTCGATTTCAAACAAATTAAAGGCTTCTTGGCTTATTGGCTTCTTTCACTATTGTGAAAATGTTGCAGAGTGTTTGCTCTTATAGGATCGTTGTACATTATTTCCAAAGAATTATTTCCACAGTTTATAAGTTGTTATTTGTAACGCTTAAAATAAGGCCTCACTTAATTTTTTGATTATTACTTAAAATGACATCAAAATTCATTTCATTCACCAGGGCAACCATGCTTTTTGCTTCCTTCACATACGTGTATAAAAGGGCATATTTCGGATTGTTTTTTGAATCTGAATTGCATTTCAAGTAGTCGACAAATTCAATATGTTGACCATAAATAGCAATACAGGATTACTTTGTAACCGGCTACAAAATATTGAACTAGGTATAAAACTAATTTGCAGAATTTCACGAAGAATAATTTTATAACAAACATAATATGCTTATTTAAAAGATGTAACATCATTAACGTAGGCATGAAATTACCAATTAAACCATTGTCAGATTCATAATTTTTAATAAGATCTGGTTACCTTTGAAGATAGGGAAAACGCGGGCTGGTTTGCAGTCAGTTGGGGAAATAGGAACTGTAAGCAGAAGGGCATGCAATTCAAAAAGTCATGAGCTATAGGTTCCGCTCAGATTCAGGACTCTTTCCGACCAACGCAGCGGAAATGTGTATTTTAAGGGAAACTTGCAAATATATTTACTACAGAGTTAAGTATAACTACGATCATGATGCAATAACAACCAATTCAAAAAGTCATGAGCTATAGGTTCCGCTCAGATTCGGGACTCTTTCCGACCAACGCAGCGGAAATGTGTATTTTAAGGGAAACTTGCAAATATATTTACTACAGAGTTAAGTATAACTACGATCATGCTGCAATAACAACCTGTTGAATTTGTTGTCTGTAAATTTGAAGTTACAAGTCTCCATGATAGAACTAAGAAAGTAAAGTCATGTAATCATATGTTTACAATTGTTTTCAAATTCATACATTTGACAATATCTAATTGTCAAAATTTATAGTCATAAATCCATTGTATACACACAAAAACATAGATGGGAACTGTTTTTTATGCATTGAAACTTGACAAGGTTAATTACAGAAAATGCAGAGCTGGGAATGCTATTTTGAAATGAGGTTACCCTTGTTTCAACATACTATGATCCAAGCATAAGGTCCTCCTTCCAGCTCATATAATTATTAAACAATCTGTCAAATAAAGTTGAATTCGCCGCATCGAAAACAAATGTCAAAACATAATTTTTACATCGAAGGAAGACCTTATAATTGGGCCATGCATGCAAGTCTCTAGCTTCAGAGTTGTATTTTTAACATTTAATCATGATACAATAAGGAAGAGAACAGCTTCGTAAAACTGCAGACATACAGCCCCGAGGCTATGCCTCCTTCCTATCAGTTTTTTTTAATTATATGCAACAAGTTGTTTTCATTTATTTCATATTTTTCTATGGCAAAACTGGTGCGTGCCCCACAATATACGTTTCTTCCAATGATTTACTTTTGAAAATATTTTTGAATATTTTTTGTATTGACAAGTCGGTCACAGCTGGTAGCTCTACCTTACCTTTTTATTATACCATGAATCTACCCTACCTTGCAATTATTGTACCATGGTAGAATGAGGAAAGTCTACATACAACATACATGGTACAATAAAAAGGTAAGGTAGAGCTACCAGCTGATCACAGTTTTTCTGAGTGTGCCCGACTTCTGCCAATTTTGTGTATGTATTTATTGTTTTCAAAATCAATGATTGGAAGACGTGAAAATTGCGAGACGCGCTTTAAAGTTATTCGCTAGTTTTGCCATGGAATTGAAAGATAGAACTGTGTAGATCATGTTTTTGAAAGAAATACAGACATTTTAATCATTTTTCCCGCTGTTTAACTGATTTTAAAAAATGAAGAAAATTATTGAATAAATGAAAACAATTTGTTATATTCAAATTTGACAGGAAGCGGGCATAGCCTCAGGGTTGTATTTCTGTAATTTTACGAAACTGTAATTTTTTGTATTTCTGTAATTTTACGAAACTGTTCTACCTCCTTATTGTACCATGCAACATACATTGTCAAATGACACTGTGTAGAAAACAGGTTCCCATCACTCGACCTTCTTACTTCTACCATGTATTGTACAATGAAGAATATTAAATACGAAACAAGTAAAAAATTAGGTGAGTTCCGGCCGGCAAAACTTTTTACACCCTCCACCATTTGGAAGGAACTTGAAAAAATTCCAAAAAAAACCCCGAAAACTACCACTCAAATGAATACCGTTATATGGGGGATATACGAAAACGTGAGCCTACATACGAAATGTTTTGCCATAGGTTGTAGTACCCATTACGAACTTCAAATACAAAATTTTTCCGCTAAATAATGTCGCTAAAATCATGGAAATACCGAATATCGGGAGGTACCGCTACATGGGGGCGATACGAAGACGTGGACCTCCATACGACATTTTTTGTCATAGGCTGAAGTAGCCATTGCGAACTTTATATATGAAATTTGAAATAATTCCGGTAAATAATGTCGCTAACCATTTTTCGCGGTTAAGGAACAGCGACACCACATTATACACCAGAATGTTTCCTAAAATTTCAAAAAGTTAAATGCTGCATGTATTTAGGCAATTTTATTTCAATTTGAAAGGGATGTTGTTTTTTACGATTTTCTAGCGATTTTTTACGTATTGAGAGATTTGGACCTACAGCTAAAAACTACACATTCAGGGGAATGATATAAAAGCATTACAATTCAATATTTTAGGAACTGTTCTTGCGCTTTTAAAATTTAAAAATCTAAATTCCAAAAATGTATATTTTTAAAATGATCGAAAACCAATTGTTTTGTTTAAAATTTTTGACATGTAACTCTGACACTTGTACTACGTACAAAAACAAGTTTGTATGTGGTTTTTGTTAGGTTTGTTGTACAACAGCACTTGTTGTTACCAGTATTATTTTACCATGTACCATGCATGCCTAAAGTTTGTAGTTTTTGCATTATTATTATTATATACATAGTTGTGAGATGATGGACTTACTGACCAACCTTATACAGGCCGTAGCATGGGCCATAGACTAGTTTCTATCTAATTTCTTAGGCATCTACTTTTTAATATTTTGTTATATGTCATGTTAATTTTTTCAGCATTTAAACTTGGTGTCACCACTTCAACTATATTATAATCCCATTTTAATTTTGAACAAATTACAAATATGGAGGTTAGCTACTACTTTCCTGTTTTTCGGATCTGTGGGTATAAGCTTCTTCTTCAACATGGTGTTTACATACCGGTATTGTCGCATGCTGGAAGAAGGTTCGTTTCGTGGGCGCAGTTCAGATTTTGTCATGATGTTCCTTTTTGGAGCTGCCCTCATGACATTCTTTGGACTATTTGTTAATCTACTGTTTCTGGGTCAAGCATTTACATTAATGTTGGTGTACGTATGGTCCCGCCGAAACCCCTTTGTTCGTATGAACTTTTTCGGTGTAATGAACTTCCAGGTATGATATCCAAAATCTTGACAATTTTCGTATATATTAATGACATATTAATTTAGGCTCCATACTTGCCGTGGGTTCTTTTATGTTGCTCTATGATACTGGGCAATACCATATGGGTAGACATCATTGGAATGGGTGTTGGCCATATATATTATTTCCTGGAAGACGTATTTCCATTCCAAAGGAACGGTTACAAATTTATAAAAACTCCATTTTTCTTGTAAGTTTTTCGTATGTATATTTTAATACACCTTTTAAATGAAAATTCTAGGAAAGTCCTTTTCAATGAACACATCGACCGTAACTATCAACCGCCACCCGAGGACCGTCCAGGAGGCTTCAATTGGGGAGGAGAAGATGGACAAGAACAACCTGCACCAGAAAATAACGGAGATGAAGGCGCACAAAATCCGAGAAGACCAGCTCAGAACTAAAATAAACATGGAATCTGTAAATAAAAAATTCCCGCCGTCGTTTTTTACTACTGTTCTCAAAGGGCAAGGCAGTTATTTTTCCATTCGCAAAGTACATTTTGTTTATATTACAAATTACCACAAATTGTTTTTTAATTTCACATTTACATTGCTTGGGGAAGGATCGTACATGTGAAAACAGCGTTGCAGTCATACTTAAGAATACGCTGCGACTAAACTCAACCAGTTGTAAAGATTTTGTTAGCAATAAAACAATATATCGTAAACATTCGGACTGTTATGCCTTGCTTTTCCTCAATTAATTGTGATAATTAATTGGAATACTATTGGTGGCAGATTGAAGGCAGTGTCATTTAAGGGGTAAGTAATCTGCATTAGAAATTGTATACGGCGTTCCGTTGCATATTGATTATAATTCAAGCTTTGTTATTTTAAAAACACTAACCTTCTATGTTATTGTAGGACGTTCTGTGTGGCAAAAATCACTCTTCTAAGATAAAAATAGGAACTAATACGAATGAATTCAGTTAGAAATTTAACGTTTATTCAAGGAATCGGCTTGGTTTATTTACGGAATCGACTTTCATTTCTATATTAGATTCGATATTAACATGTACAATTTTAAATTAGATTAAGCTGGGAAGCCACTAACGTTATACCATTGAATTCTTTTAAATCATTAAGGAATGGGTACATAAGTAGCTTTAAATCATATCATAAAGGGATACCACACCCGCACACGAATCCTGACGTCGTTTTTCCTTATAATTTGACAATTATATGCCTAGCCATGATGCCAAGCTGCTTATGTTGAAGGATTATTATAATGGTATGTAATACATTAATTAGATCATTTAGGCTTCTGTGTTAAAAGTGGAAGAGTACATTTTTGGCAATTTCAGGAGAAAGAAATATCTATCTCTCTGAAATTAGATCATACAAAACGTTCATTGCATTGGAGGCGGAGGTTTCACTAATATTTTAAATACAGCTAAATTTCTTGAACTAGCCTCTAGTAACCAACGTATGGAATGTATTAGGTAGCAAGTTAATAGCTCGAACCGCCTTATTCGACAAATATAGGCCCGCTTTCCGAAGGCGATTCAACCAGAAACCTTCAGTTGATTATACCTAGGACTATTTATTTTAGTTCGGGTTGCACGCGTTTGGAATGCACTGCCTCATGAACTCAGAATATTCTCACATACTAATAATACATTTAAAAGGATACTACGCACACATTTTTCTCTTCATTAGAATGGTAGACAAATCTAGAGTTATTGTTTTCTAGGACATTTATATCTGCGTTATTTCGTTAATGTTAAAAGACTGGGGATCCAAGTAAAGAATGGTGTATTTTATGAAATGGAAAAAGAATTGTGTTGTTATTTTTATAAGCTCAGGTTATTTTCGTGGTAGAATTAAGAAGGTAAGGTCATGTAATCATATGTTTACAATTTTTTTCAAAATTATTCATTTAAAAACATTTCATGCCAAATTTGTAAATCCACTGTACATACAGAAATCAGAAATGGGAACCTGCTTTCTAGGCAGGAAAATTTGACAAGGTAAATTTTTTTTGAAATGGCTTTACCTTCTTGCCGTGGTTATTTTGTAACTAGTAATACGCATGGTAGGGCTATGATACTAGTAATACGCATGGTAGGGCTATGATACTATGGTAGGGCTATGATACCATATGATTTTAATTTTTTATTTTCTTGGCTTAATATTTATTTATTTATTTATTTTAATATGTCATCTTTATTTGTTTATGTATGTGTTTTCTTTTCAATAACAAAAACATTCAAATTCTGGTGTTTTCAAATGGTTTATTTCAACGTATGCATCGACAAAATCTAGAGTTTTTGTAGCGAAATAATCTTTTAGAGATATATAGTACATGATTTTGAAAAGAAGTATTGACCTTTCATTCAGTTATCGCATTTTTCAATTATTTATTCAAAATAAATGCAACAAGTTGTTTGATTTTTTATTTTTTTTTTTTTATACTAATTCTGACATTACAAGCCAAACAGGTAGACCTTTATACTTGCAATTTTTTCAAAGTTGACCTACCTTCTCTTCATTGTACCATGGTAATACTTGTATATGTTCTTATACAATGAAGACAAGGTATTTTAACTTTGAAAAAATTGAAAGTATAGAGCATTGGCTTGTAATGTCAGAATCACTATCAAAACAATAAAAACCAAACAACGTGTTGCATTGATTTTGAATAAATAATTGAAAACCGCGTAATAGTATGTCTCCTCATGACTCCGGTGGACTATTTTCATAAGGAGTCTATGGCTTCCCCCTACATAAGCGTAATGCTCGTGTTAAAGGGCTTGGCAAATGCGTCTAATTTTTCTTTTTCTAGGCGAATTGTAGATTCGTAATCAGTAATCAGTTCTTTCGTTTAATCTGAGTGGTTGTTTGAAGAGTTTTTCAGATTATTTTAGTTTTCCCTAAACCTAGGGGAGCGGTGCTTCTGCCATTCTCCTTTGGCCTTTCTTTTTTCAGACACGAGTTTTCGAGTGGTCGATGGATTGTAGGAATTATTTTCTGGTTTAGAAAATTTAGTGGGAGTGGCAACATTGACAGCGGTGTTGATTATCGAAGTGAATATTTAAACTGCAATGTCAATTTCTTCTCCGGAATTTAGGGAAGTGTTAAGATTCGCATGTGTACTGACATATTTTTGTACTTCGTCCAGTTTTTATATTTATTTGGCAGATAATATGGTTGGCAGCTGCGAGTTGAATATCATTTAATGTTATTATAGTTGGGGAATGGTCTGACGAGGGTACCACGGAGATTTGTTCCCTTTTAATATTCTTTGTTACCGCAAAGTCAATTAAGTCAGGACGTTTTTGCATGTCTGAAAGCCAGTAAGTAGGCTGACCGGTAGATAACACGTCCAGTTCAGCGGACGAAATGGAGTTTAAAAGCTGTCTACCTCTGGGTGTAATAAGTCTAGATCCCCAGAAAGTGTGTTTGGCGTTATAATCTCCAGCTACCAAGAGATGAGAAGAAATGTGTGGTTATACTATGTCTTAGAGGACAATGTATTGCAAATATAACTGTATTCGTTGAAGATAGGGCAATTGTTGTAGATGGTCAAACTTATATTCTGGCACGGGCTAATGTTGAATTTTATTAGAAATTATCACAGCGGTGCCACTGCAAGGTCTTCCACTACGGTGTTTACTGTTGTATGTACTGTAACCGTTTATTCTAAAACAGTTTCTAGAAGTGAAATGAGTTTCAGATACCAGTAAAATGTGTATGTTGAGTGATCGAAAAAGTTTTCGACCTCTTGTTTATTTTGGCTTAAGTCGAATATTCGAATATTATCTATTTTTGTTTTAAAACTATTTACATTATCATAGATTGATTTCTCACCATTTCTTGCATCAAGCTTTGCATGCTTGTCATGAAAGAATTCTTGGAGACGATTAGTTTTTCGATAGATGATTCTATATTTGGATTTTTACGGTTGGGTGAGTCATTTCTCAAAGTATCAGAAGTAAGTATTGCATATTCTGTGAAGAATAATTTTGAAAAAAAAAAATGGACACATATGACTTAACCCTCTTAATTCTACCATAAATTCTGTTCAAAATTAAATTCGTATTTACAGCTTTTGGTGAGACTACACATTTGCTTTTTGGACGAAAAAGTATTGTATTCGTATTAGAAACTCCAAACCTCTTTATACCCTCCACCTTGAAAAGAGGGTATATTAACTTTGCCATTCCGTTAGTAATATCCCATAAAGTATATATATGATCAGCATAAATCATAATACAGCCCACATTATTTGACGTAGAACTTCAAATTTTGTATTGTATTGTGTCTAGGATGGTTGGTATTGAAAATGAGATACATCAGTCCACGTTTTTGTATAGCCCCCATATAACGGTAGCACCCGATATTCGGTATTTTTTATGATTTTTACAGTTTTCCATGAATTTGTCTAGAACTTGGAAATGGGTTCTCGCTCCGGAACATTGAATTTCTATATATATAACGGTACCCACCGATATTCGGTATTTTGATAATTCTAATCACATTTACCCACGAAATTTTTCAAATTTTGCATTCAAGACTCTATTAAGTCTATAAAGGTACCCGTTTTGGTTTATGACCCCCATATAACGTCGTTACTTACTTTTTTCGATTAGTTTATCTGCATTATCCAAACGGTTTTACTGGTATATGTAGTTTAAAGTGGAACACGCTTGAATTCAGATACTTTTTTTAATGTCTTCTTTATGGCCTAACCTAATGTTTTGTTTTACTTATTCGCGGCTGATTCGAGTCTATAGTTAATGGAAAAAAACACTGTTATACTTTACAAAACACCAACAGCAAAAACTTTTACATTCTTGCAGTGTATGAACATTAAAGTAAAAGCAAACAGAACAAAATATCTAATATGTGCAAGGCATTTTTAAACCGAACGAATAAACATAAAGTTAGACCTTACGGTCCATGTTTTTCACCACACGTTAAACACGTGTATTTATATGAATGTTACCAATATGGGCCGAGCTACGTTATTTCAAAGTTGACTTGCTGCGATCACGTTTTACGGATTTTTACAACCATATTTTGAAATAAGAGCTATAACTTTCTATTCAGGTAACTTTGTGTTATCAGTGACAGCTACAGACATAATTATATTAGAAAAAATGTGCAAAGATATATGCTACTACTTCTTATTTTCAAAAGAATTTGTTTTAAAATAATTTTTGTTTCTAATTTTATTATTTCCGCTTATAAGAAAAATTTATTTATTTTCATGAGCAGCAGCAGAGCACGATTTTGGTCTTTAATAAAACATTGTCTATAGATTTTTTTTCAAAGAAAACTTATGTTCGCTTTATTACGACTAAACTTGAGATAACTTGAAATTTTACACTTTAACATGCGGGTTTTAATGGCACCTGATTTTATTCGCTTGAAACTTAATTTAAAACAATCATTCCAATACACAAACATTTTAAAAAGATTTCCCACTTTCATGTTAAAAAGCAACAACTTTGTTTTCACTATTTGCCTATTGAAAACTTAGATTACAATTCTTTATAACCCTAGAATGATCAGTTACACTTTATTTTTGTTACTTTTTTATTGCTATTGGCATTATCAAATGCCCATTTGTTTATAATTATTCAGTAGAACGCACATACGTATATTTATATAAATAATGTAGCACTATTTCAATAATAACCATTGGAAGGGTCTCACGAGTATAATTCAAATAAAATGACAAAAGATTATAATTAACAATCCGACTTAATCGAAGACCTGAGGAATTGCTCTAACAAAAATTTGAAAATTAAGTATAGTGAAAAAAAAAATCATATGAAATGGGGAACATGAAATAATGATTACAATGGAACTGCTATGAATGTGATCCTTCTTGTGACTAATATTACAAAAACAATTGGGTTTAAGATTTAACTAAACTTAATCTAATTCATAATGAAAAGTGGAGCCGTTTAAGCAAATGGGGTTTGTCACATGCTGCACGTAGAAGTTACTTGTTCAGGTATTATTTCAAAACATGAATAAACTTATCAACTTAAACGAATTTAATAAAATTAGATAATTAATTACATTGCTACAGTTGCGAGTAACACAGTTATATCGTCTGGTTTGCCACCTGAAAAAGAGAGAAGTTAGTATCGAAATATTGCAGCTGTAAGACCTCTTCTGAGTGGTATTATACTGAAAACACCAACATTAAAGACACATCAATTAAGGTATTTCGCTTACCGGTTGCGTTAATATTATTTCTTCTGGCATTAATTGCAAACGGCGACATAAATTCACTGTCGAAGGACAAAGATCGGGCCATCAGCGCCAGCGAGTTGGCAGTCATTTGTAGTTTGACAGGATCTGTTACCCCTTCCACCTGCAACAATGCAATAATTAATCAAGATATTGAAAACTTTCAAATATATTTTAAATTCTTACCTCTTTTAACACATCCAGCAGTAACGTCTCGGGAACATTATCAAATACTCCGTCTGTTGCCACTAATATAACATCACCTTCCTTCACCGGGAAACTTAAAGTGTCTGCTGAATCTGGGCTGTCGCTTAATACGTTGTGATCATGACCCGGTGGTGGCAATGACAATTGAAAAGGTGTATTAAAGTAGTGTTGTTGTTCCTCAGACTTGTGTATAATTTCACCTTTTCGAACAACCATGAAACCACTATCTCCAATATTAGCTGTATAAACAGTACTATTTTCCCGATTTAACACTAGTACGCATGCAGTGCTGCTGCCTAAAAGTAGATACAATAATAAGTATACGATAAATCTTTTTATTTAATTTATATATTAACTTTATATTTTACATTCGAGCCATTGGGCCACGCAACAAAATTTTATACACTTTTGTTCTCTTTATTCATACAAAAAACATAGTAAAAGTAGGTATATGTAAAGGCCCTACCAAAGCAAATTTATGTGATCGTTTTATCGGGTCAGCTGTTTCCGGACGTAAAAAAATTATTGTTAAAAAAATTTTTTATAAGTGTTGTATGAAATATGTAAAAATCGTTCATTTTTTCTCCTTTTGAAAGCTTCTGACATTTATTATTCAAATTTGCTGACGACACAACCTATTGTACAATGTACCTTGGTCCTGCGAAAACTTCGAAGTGATTTTTTATAAACAAAACCCCAAAAATTACTCTTCTTGAATGTGTTTTAAGAATTCACGGAATTGGTTCAAAAGTTGAAAAAAAGATCGGAGGTTTATAAATTTAGCTGAGCTCAACCAAAAGAAACGCTGAAATCATTTCATCTCAAATCTTAAGTGCAGTGAGGTGTGCACTTAGGACGTTTGTCCTATATTTACAGAGGGCGACAAGATATATGAAGGCAGCGGAGCATGTACTTACAGCTCTAATTTTACCATTAATAACATGTAAGCTTAACAACTAATGCGGCCGGTTCTATGTACCGGATTGTCTCGAAGGAACAAATCTTCGACCAGGAGCCGCCAACCCAGCAAATGCATGTTCATGTGCATCCATTTTTCTGATGTGGGAGCGATATTAGATTAGATAGTGGTATTTGGATCGATGTTCTCGTATGAAGCGACAGAGATACAATTCAGAAATTTGATATTTATATAACTATTGGTATCTGAGGTTAAGATTTAGATGTGGGTTTGGAAATGCATCCTATAATTGTTCGAAAAGAACTAAAAGTTTAGGGTTAAGGGAAAGAGCCAAAACTGTGAAATTTTATATTGCGATAACTGTTGGTGTCTAGGATCGAGAGAAGATGAATTTGAAAGTCTTTTTGTTGTGTTGGGTGAAGGGGCAGAGATACAATTCCAGAATTTGATATTTAGATTGCTGACGGTATTAGCGTTTGAGATTTTGTGGGCTTTGGAAATGCGTCTTATATTTGTACGAAAAGTACTAACTGGTGCTAAATTCCTCTTAAGAAGCAGTGCGAGTTCCTAGTATTACATAAATTAGATGAAGGTGGCTCGTAGACGTCTCGATTTTTGAAACCAAAATACAAATTTATATTATTTCTCCTTTTTTTTATTTTAAACAAAATAAAGATCAAGAACTTACCAAGGATTGGCTTCTTTTGTTCCAGTAACTCGCAATAACTATATGCTAGTAGATTTACAGGCCTTTGCGGGTTAAAGTTTACACAGTGGACAAGTCGTTCGCACGTCTTCATAAGAAATGACGAAAATTCACCGGGATCTATGCCGTAGCTTCGCCAGCCACCAACACCATCAGCAACACCTAATGAAAAAAAAATATTTTTCTGAATTCAATTGATTTGGCAAAGCCTGCATCTTACCCAGCACATCAGAGTTTAAAGTCGAAGTCTTAAACCAAGAATCTTCTCCATATTTCCCAGGTTTATATTTGGATGTAAGAAAATCTTTAGGAAATCCACATACTACCGATACAAAATGAGGTCGAGATTTGTTTGCTCCAGCCGCCGTGACATTGGCAGACTCCATCAGCGTGGAGAATCCATTGCGCAAGGCACGCGAAATAACTCTCGACGTCCAGCTAAGTGAATGCATATTTTCTTTTGTATGTGTGTATCTAGTTTTACAATGGTTTACATGTGCATCAAGGAATGAAGCTGTGCCACTCTGTTTACCTGGAACCTCTCAATCCAAAAAAAATCACTTTTCCAGAGCACCTATATTCGATGTAACCTAAATCAACAAATTATGCGTCTTAGTGGGGGTTATTTATAACACTTTTTTATGTTATTCGATTTTACGTCAAAGTCACAAGATTGGCTGGGAAATGCGTTATTTGGTAATTCGTTGTGTATTCAATATTCCAACCGTTATTGAGATATGCGACGTACATTGAACAAATAGAAAAAATTTGTAATGCATAAATTCGCTTTCTTTCGTGTAGTTATATTAATCGAAAAACGCTTTTTTATATTTCATTCTCACAATTTATTGGTAGCGAAAACCTATTTTAATAAAGTAACAAACGACGATATACGACGCATTCACTTTTCGTTGGCTTGACTTTGACTTTTGTGCTGTCATTCCAATCACAATAGTGCATAATCAGCTGTCTTGGAAGGGGTAGGTACTGCTGTCGATTGCAGACGCTTGGATCAAGTCATCATATTGGCATACATGCTTTTTACAGCATGGAAAATATGTTTGCTGTTGCCATTTCTTGAATTTTCGCACACTAGTATGCAGCAACGTCTTGGATATGGCATTCCTTTGAAAATGAAATACAACGCAAAGCTTAGTAAGAACCCAAGGAACGCTTATCGTCATGATTGTGTTTGATTAACGAAGCACTACTTCGCCGCCAGTTTAACACAGGATAGCATGGCCCAGCCTCCTTCCAAGACAACTGTGTCAAACTGTATTGGTTGAAATCACAGAACAAAAGATGGCTCTTGACATATTTAATCGCAAAATATTAAAATATGCATTTGCTGTTTATTCAACAACCTAGACAGTCATGGACACCAGAAGAATGACAGAGAGTATGGATCCATTTTAAGAAGAAAATGTCGCAAAATAAAATAAATCTTAACGCCACAGGTGGTGGTCCATCACAAGAAGTGCGTCTATCGCCGTTGGAGCAAACCGCAGCAGATCTACACAAATAAGTTTAGTAACAGATCCTGCAGGTGCCATTTACGGAATAATGGAGACATGAGATGAAGATGGGATAGAAATAGTGTCAAATGTTGAGGTGGAATTATGTCTCAAGCTTCGTCGAATAGATGCAACGTACTGAACATTTTCTTCATCAAAAAATAATTCCACTGAACTTATCATTTTAAAATTCTTTTATTGTTTAATGTGGCGTTTCCACTGCACTTGATTCGCTCTCTATTCGTTGTTTAACCCTTAACTATGAAAAAACTACCTAATTCTTCACACAAAATTTCCTGAGCGAACACTCATATTTGTACGTTGTTCAAATCAAATCACTCTCAGAACAACGAAAAAATATGTCCCATCCCTAACAAATGAGAGCATTTATCGAAAAAATAAATTATGACATTTAAAAATTATAAATAGAAAAATTTAATGAAATTTTAAAAATTTTTTGGAAGACTGAAAATTATGAATGAAAACTACAATGTTGAATGGCGTATGTACATTCAAACGAAAGTAAATTTTGTTTTCTCTCTCATTCGAGGTACGCATTTGGTCCACGAGTTAAAATTTCTACAGAAAACTGCAAACAAAATAGTCAATATTTTCAAAATGTTTCTATCGGCAGAAAAAATGTTTGACAAGTGTTTCTTCAGCAGAATTTAAAAATGGGAAATCACAAAAATATGTTCAAAATGTCAACATTTACACAAAAAGTTGAAAACGTGAATGAAAATTGTAAAATTAACGATATAATAAATCTTTGGGAGAAAAACAATAATTTCCTATATACATATTAGTGAGAATTTCATGTATTTTCGTATACATTCCCTTTAAAATCAACAAACAATTTTTTTGAAAAAAGGAATTATTTTACTATGAATTACGAATCGTACCGTATGAACGGGTTAATTCGTGTACCTAATTCTGAGAGCGAACAACGTTGTTCGGTTTCCAATGGAAACATGCTATAAATTGTGTTATTTCGAATTTATTGACATTTTTGAAGTTTAGAGTTCACAAGATGGAAAATACACTGATCGATAACACGTTTATCGACAACTCAATTGGGTTGCCTTATATAATACAACATTTTATTTCAGTCGTGCTGACAACTGATAACGCAACCCAAGTTTGGTGGCAATGGATAATCGAGCCATTAATTTCAAAAATATACAACCAAATCAGCTGGGACTTGCTGTTACCTGCAATAACTATACCATGACACCATGTATTGATTTAGAAAGTATAAAGCATGGTAGAAGAGTACAGGTAGTCGCATCGACACAGCTGCTGGGACAATGAACTGTCAAACTGATTTTGAAATTGAAAATGTTAAATGAAAAATTATTGAAGTGTGTAAAAATTATCGAAAAATACATATTATATCGACCAGCGATTCGCGTCGTATAAGAAAACATATAAAAATCTACTTATTTTGACAAAACATTTTGCACATATCAATGTTCCCAAGCGTTGATGCATCTACCTATATTCTTCTACCATGGTATAAAGCATACGGTTCCCCTTCCAAGCCTTCTGACTACCAAATTTAATGTCAAAATGCAATTATTGTAATTATTGTGATTGAATTGAAAATTTTTCTCCGATATCATTCATAAGGGGAAAATCGGTTATCGTAGTTTGAGCAGGTGGCAATGAACTGATTTCGAAACAACAACCAACTTCAACATCGTATAGAAACAGTTGTCAATGTTGATGCACCATGGTCAAAACAGTATTTGGAATTATGCAAGATGTTCAAGGCCCATTAAATAATTTAAAATTGTGTTTAAATCGCACTATAACTACAATTGAGACAATAGAAATCATAATGTCAATGTGTTATAATTTAAATAATTTAATAATGCAATTCATTACAATGTGGGTAAAATCGGCTGTTCGTATCGGATGCCATGCCATAGCTACCACATTCAGGATACATATTCAATAGAACCGACCATTAAAGAAATCTTTCCTCCTGTGTTTAATTAAAATTTAAACCTAGGCCACTCAGTAGAAAACAGCGTTCGAAAATAAACAGTATGGTACTGTACCGTAGTGTTCTGTACCGTTCCGAGGTGGAGTGGTACACTAAGATAATGTACCGTACCGGAGCACAACATGAATCGTACTGTACCGCAATCGGAGCACTAAAAAACGTAGTGTTCCGCAGTCGGAGCACTACGAAATCGTAGTGTTCCGCGGTCGGAGCACTACAAAATCGTAGTGTACCGCATGGCGGAACATTAAAAAAATAATGTATCGGTAGTGTACCACATATGTGTTGTTTACGATTTGTGAGAAAAATTAGATGTTTTATGTTTTTGATAATGCAAAAATTACTAGCATAATTCAATATTATGAAAATAAAAGCTGGATTTATTTTATTTGTCATGTATGTTTAGATTGGTTGCAAGATTGAAGAAAGTAGAAAAATATGGGAATAGGTGGAAAGAATAAAAAAGGACCAAATCTGAAGTCATAATAATTTGTATTTAACCATTGAAAATTGAAATTTTCCGCGAAAAAGGGTATTTTAGTGGTTGCATTGTAATGGGTTATTATGCAAATCATTTACCTGCTATTTTGTGGTACCGAAAAATGAATGAGTGTTGGTGTAAAAAACTAAATAATTTACAGTGTATGGCTGAGTGTTTAAAATCAGTTTTATGATTTCGATTTTTTTTAATGTGATACATGTGCTACACTACGATTTTTTAATGCTCCAATTGCGGAACACTACGTTTTTTTAGTGCTCCGACTCCGGTACACTACGATTTTTTAGTGTTCCGACTGCGGTACACTACGATTTTTTAGCGCTCCGACTGCGGTACACTACGATCATCGTTGTGTTCCGGTACAGTATCACTAAAATATTTTTTAGTGGTAGTGTACCGGAACACTACCGCTAACAAATTTTTTAGTGATACTGTACCGGTACAGTACACTATGTTAGTGTACTGTTTATTTTCGAACGCTGGTAGAAAATGAAATGATCGATCAAAGGAACCTGAGGGAATGGTCCGATCTCCACAATCTTACAAATGACGCCACTCCAATTTATCCTTGGTTGTCCAAGGTGTATGCATACTTTACTTACCATTTTTTAAATAATCCTGTTCAACAAATATGTCCAATCCAAGGCTTAACTTTAGTTTAGTAAAAACTCTTCAATTTTTTCGAAATTTTTTCCAGTGGTAGGTATTTTTACCCTAATCCCGGGAAACTATTTTTTTCTTGGGGGACGGACCTGGGACCCCAGATTTTTGACCCGAAAGTCCTCCAGGCGTGATCTTGATCCTGAACTTTCGGGTCAAAAATCTGAGGTCCCGGGTCCGTCCCCCAAGAAAAAAATAGTTTCCCGGGATCAGGGTAAAAATACCTACCTCTGGAAAAAATTTCGAAAAAATCGAAGAGTTTTTGAGTTTTGCCTTGTTAAGGCGAAGATCATATGTTTTATGATTAAAGTGTTTGTTTTCTCTTTCGAGACGAGCTTAATGATCTGAAATTTGCAGTGAAAAGGAAAGCCAGATAGACACTATCACACACTCACCACTATGCGACGCGTTTCGCCGTTGGTTAAGCGGCTCATCAGGCATATTTGATGTGGATGATGGCTTACAAGGGCCGTTCTCTGGAAAGTAGTATATATTTCGAACTTATTGCAAATTAGCATATGCGAATTATACACTAGAAACTCTCCAGGTTCGACTCAAGTTCTATTGGCAGATCTTTTTCACAGCAACGTTTTGTTTTTGTAGTGATGGATTTTTTGTCCACAACAACTACATTGCTTCCAATGCATACACTTGTTTTTTAGTGCTGCTTTAGGAAGACGGGTTAATGGCTCTGAACGTAGAGACGGCAACTTCTAGTTGGCTGCACACAGAGGTCCGCGGTTCAAATCCCACAGCCAGGCTCGGCTGAATTTTTGAGTTTTGCCTTGTTAAGGCGAAGATCATATGTTTTATGATTAAAGTGTTTGTTTTCTCTTTCGAGACGAGCTTAATGATCTGAAATTTGCAGTGAAAAGGAAAGCCAGATAGACACTATCACACACTCACCACTATGCGACGCGTTTCGCCGTTGGTTAAGCGGCTCATCAGGCATATTTGATGTGGATGATGGCTTACAAGGGCCGTTCTCTGGAAAGTAGTATATATTTCGAACTTATTGCAAATTAGCATATGCGAATTATACACTAGAAACTCTCCAGGTTCGACTCAAGTTCTATTGGCAGATCTTTTTCACAGCAACGTTTTGTTTTTTACTAAACTAGAGTTGTTTCCAATCCAATTCCTTGGTTGTTTTATTGGTTTTATCACTCCTTGTTGCTACTTCTGGTTCTTACTGGTTAGGTTATTGTCTGATTGTCGTCTCTGCTTCAACCGCGCTTTCATTTATTG